GTGTAGCTGAGGCAGCCAGGAAGGAAAGAGGACATTTCAGCAGTAAGACGTCCATCCGTGATTAAAGACTATGCTAGACACATAGGAGGCAAAGGGGTGGGGAGATGATGTGTAGGTTGGATATGACCCACTGGCTCCGAGGTGCCTGCCTGTCCTCAACTAGAACAAGTTATGCATCTTAAACTTCCTTCACCCATACTGAACAAAGCTTTCTCTTCCAGATACCATTTTAAAATTCTAATTGAAAATGTAATATATGCACCTCATTTGAAAAAAAAGTCAGAGTACAAAATGCTATTGAGTTAAGAATGCCCCACTCCCAGCCTGAACCCCCAATCCCTCAGCTCCCCCACCTCAGAGAGCCATCATAAACCAGTTTCTTATGTGTCTTTCTAGGCATATTCTAGGCATATACAAGTATAATACATTTTCATATTTTAATACAGATGGGATCACTGTTTTTGCTTTTCCACTGAATTATATATATTGGAGAGCATTCCGTATTTGCACTACCTACCTTACTTGACTTTTTTTTAAATCTTATTATTTTTAAAATCTTCACAGTATTCTTTTTTTTTTTTCATAGTATTCTTAATATGGACACAGCACCAATTATTTAACCAAATAACTTCTGGCAGAAATTTAATTTTTCTCCAGTCTTTTGCTATTATAAACAGTGTTGTAATAAACATGTACATACTGCTTTCTTTCTTTCATTTTTTTTTTTAATGTAGAAAAATCACCTCACCTCTTAGAGCCCCAAAGAACATTCTCATGGTCTAGTATAAAAACACTGCTCGTAGAAGGGGGTGGAAAATCTGCTTTCCAGTCCTGGTTTTACCACTAATGTCCTTTGCATTCAGATACCAATCACTTCATCTCTCTGTGTGACTGAGGTCCTTTGCTTGTTAGGAAGCAATAATTGTACCTGCTTTCATTTGCCTCACAAGGGCATTCTGAGAATCAAATAAGCTCATGTATACACAAGCTTGTGAGTGCTGAACTGATACACAAGTCACTCCTCTGGTTTTCTGCCAAACCAGAAATCGACATGTTGCTCTATTTTCTATTGAAAATGCCCACCATTTTCAACATGGTGCCTTCTAAGGGAACCTGACCACACACACACACACACACACACACACACACACACACACACACACAGCTCCTGCTTACACACAACCCCAGGCTGCTGGGTACTGCCCCGTATGTCCCTGCCCTCCCCCATCCGTCTACTTCATCCCTGACTGGGCTGGGCATCTTCCCAATCTGTAGGCTGCCCAGTGGCTAGAATGAAATGTTCTGCCCAAATAGAGACAAACCAGGTCATTCTAATTCTTGCCCTTGGAAAAGTCTACTAGGAAATCATGATTGACTAAGGTAGTTTGGACAAACACAACACAGAATGCATGGAGAGAGGCCATGAAGTCAGGGCCATGAAGGGCCATTAGAAGCGGAAGTCACAAGTAAGCTGAAATGGGGAGGAAGAAGAAACCCTGCATACACTGAAGCTGTGAGGTAGGAAAAATGTCAGGAAGGAGTTTGGTGAAAAGTGAAAGGATACAGGGCAGCAGAAACACCAGAACCAGACGAGCTTTAACAATGGCAAAGCATGTGAAGGTGTGCCAGCCCTGACTGCTGAATCCAGCACAATCCCCAAGAGACTCAGCCACCCAAGTCCATGCCCTGTCTCTATTGTTCTCTCCTGTGGCCTTACTATAATATCCCTTTCTCTGGCCTTCATGGAGAAAGGGGAGACTCTTTTCATGCTTCCAGAGTGCCAAACCAACCTAAGGCTTATGAGATCTATCTCCCCAGCTTCCTGCAGAGTCCCCCAAAGAATGGTGTGTGAGGATCTTACCTTGAGAAGAGAGGACATGAGAGTCCTAGACTCCATTTTGTGTTAGAGTATACTGCTTTGCTTAATGAATTAATGCAGTTTCTTGGGGGGTCAGTGTCCTAGAGAAAGGGCAGGGTGGAAAAGGGCAGAGAGCAGGAATGGAGAAGCAAATGGATAATAATTTTCAGGCCAGACTTTGCTCATGCTCACCCTTCTCTCTTGCCCAAATCCCACCTACCCTTCATGTCACCTCACCCACCAAACTTCCCCCAGCTGTTCTAACCATATCAGCACTGACCTTTTTGACTGTAATGATAGATTACCTTTTGGGCCCTAACTCTTCATCCTGCCTCAATTCCACACCCATGAAATGGGCAGAGTACATGTCACCATCCTTTGACTTTGCGTTTGGCCATTAAACATCTTCTATTACTCGCCAAAGCCAATAGTATAAGATGGAGGTGATAGTGTGCCAGTTCCAAGACCCCTGTGATACTTCCATTGCCATGAAAAGAGCATGCCAGGCTAGCCCTCTGTTCCCAAGAAGAGAAGGAGGGACATGTGGAACAAAGCTGCAAGACCCCTAATTAAGCCTAGCCAAGATTAGCCAACCATTAGATGTCCGGGCTAAATAAATGTTTGTTGTTGTATGCCACTGAGAGTTTGTGCTCATTTGATATACAGCTGACACAACTATCCATGACACTTACTGCATATTTCAGCATTTGGTGATTTGAATAACAGCTCATTATTTGGTCACATATAATTGTTTCTTTGGGTAGGTAAACATCAACAGATTTAGCAAATAAAAATACAGGCTTTCCAGTGACATTTGAATTTCAGATAAACAATGAGTAATTTTTTAGTATAATTGTGTTCCATGCGATTTTTAGAACACATTTATGCTAAACATAGTTATCTAAAATTCAAACTTAACTGGGCACCTTATATTTATCTGGCAACCCTACGTCTAGTGCTTGAAGCAGGACGGACATCAGACACAAAAGCTGTGACATAGTTCCCAGGGTCACCATCATAATGGTGGGGTAGGAAAGCCATGGTCTAGTTAAAGATTTGCAAGAAGGTATATGCTGAGTACTTTCTACTCTCCAGTGACAAACCCACCCTTTATAATGATGACGATGATGGTTATCATTTACTTAGCCCCTGGATAGGCAGGTAGTGAGCAAAGGTACTATCTTATTTTCATACCAGTGCTGCAATGTAGGGGAGTAGCTAAACCTTTATTCCCATTTACAAATAAGTACACAGCTAGAGAGAATAGCAAAGCTAGAATGCAAAAGCAGTCCTTTCTCTTTCTATAATGCATCCCTGTCTTCACCACCAAAAATGTTTGATGTTATTGTCACAAAACTGAAGGCAACAAAGTATATTATCCAGCCCCCCAATCTCTTTGCTGGTTCCCCTCAATCAATTCTATGGATAACAGGGGTTGTATTAATTTCTTAGGGCTGCAGTTGCAACATACTGAAGACTGGGTGGCTTCAACAACAGAAATTTATTTTCTCACAGTTCCGGAGGTTAGGTGTCCACAGTCAAGGTGTTGGCAGGGCTGGTTCCTTCTGAAGGCTGTGAGGGAAGAACCTGTTCCAGGCCTGTGATGGGTGATGTGTCAACTTGACTGCGCCATGGGATGCCCAACTATCTGGTTAAACAGTGTTTCTTGGTGTATCTGTGAGGGTGTTTCTGAAAGAGGTTAGCATTTGAATTGGTGGGCTGAGTGAGGCAGATTTCCCTACCCAGTGTAGATGAGCATTGTCTAATACTCTGAGGGCCTTCCTAGGACAAAAGGTTGAGGAAGGCTGAATTGGTTCTCTCTGCCTGACTGCTTGAACTGAGATATCGATCTTTACCTGGCCTTGGACTGAAAGGTATACCAGCAGCAATCCTGGTTATTAGGCCTTCAGAATCAGACTGGAATTTATACTGCCAGCTTTCCAGGATCTCCCACTTGCAGATAGCAGATTGTGCCACTTCTCAGCCTTCACATGAGCCAACTCCTTATAATAAATCCTCTGTGTGTGTGTGTGTGTGTGTGTGTGTGTGTGTGTGTGTGTGTGTGTGTGTAGATAGATATATCCTACTGGTGCTGTTTCTCTGGAAAACCCTGACTCATACAATGCCTCTCTCCTTCGTTAATAGATGGCCATCATCCCCCTTATCTTCATATAATCTTCTTTCTATGCATGTCTGTGTCTAAATTTCCTCTTCTTATAAGAACGTCAGTTATATTGGATTAAAAACTACCCTAGGGCCGGCCGAGTGGCGCGATGGTTAAGAGCTGGCTTGGGACGCCAGAGGGCCCTGGTTTGGATCCCACATGTGAGGGCCAGTGACACTGCCCTCTACAGCTAAGATG